ATAATTTAATATAATATAATATAATATAATATAATATAATATAATATAATATAATATAATATAATATAATATAATAAATTATATAATATTATATTAATATAATATAATTAATTATATATAATATAATATTAATATAATATAATATCCAGGGAAATAATTTACAAATTTTTGCGATACATATCATCGTGTCTTATTGTTTATATATATTTAATTATATGCTCTATTACTCGGAGGCATCCATGTACTATTTTGTGCATTTTAGCAACCGGATGAAACACTTTTAAACTCTACAACATTTTTTGCAGACACCGAGATTTATAACAAAATAATTCAATGATATATTATTATTCCATATTAAATGATACCGTAATAAGATTTTTACTTCCACCGGAGTAAAATGAAGCTTTTTGATGCAATCCTGCTGGCGAAGGTAAGAAACTTTCTTTCAATTTGCATCAATAAATTATCCACAGTCTAATTAGTAAACTATCGACAAACTCTGAAATGTTCGTTTAATCTATTTCGTTTTTCTTTTATTCAAGAACCTACTACATTTGATACTTTAATTTTTAGAAGTTTCTAATACGTTTTCCATAATGTGGCGTGACATGACCTATTCCGTCGGACACGTTCTTAATTCCAGGATCAACCGGTTTGCGGGAAACGATAACTCGATCCGGTTCAAGCAGCTTGTTTATTGATCGCTAAATGCAAATTACTTATCGATCCTTACCAACGATTTCGAGCCTGTCGCCTTCCTGTACAAGAAGAGGTCCGCCGCTGTCACCTTGACAAGAATCCTGACTACCGCGGCCGGCGCAAATCATGTTATCTGTAATTCGATTGGCTCGATATTTCATCTTACGGCATTGCATTAAACTTAATATCGGTACTTGCACTTCCTGGACTATTCCCGCTAACATTCCACCTTCGGACGTGCGACCCCAACCGACCACGGTCCCTTCTTTTCCGGCAGGATCGGTGCCTGTGAACAATAACGCGAATTTTATGAACAAAGTTACGAAACAATTGATGTTCCCTAATCACTGGACTGCGGGATTTTTATGGAAAATAAGAATTGTGTGACTCGATCGTAAGAAACGTGAGCCAGATGAAACTCTTTTTTCTTTTAATAATTTTAATATGTCGTACATAATGTAAAAATATTCTCAAATTCTTATAACTTTGAAATTTTGTTCTCGACCTGGTCATTTTTGTCAAAAATGCATAAATTCCGCAGTCTACTACTTTTTAACTAGGTCTTGAATTTTTTTTTATTGTTATTGAACAAAACTGATTACTAAAAAGAGTCAAATCAAATTTTTCTTGCGATAAATTTTAAGCTTCTAATTTCGGTTTCGTTAATTACATGACTTTGTTAATTACGCACTATTGTGGGAGCCTTTGGAATTGATATTTGACACTCAACGTGCTAGCGATCCTGATTATTAACTTCTACTTGAGAAATTATTCGAGTACTTTATATCTCATTATTTTATCATTTAGTTTCTGGCAATTAATTAAAATGTTCACATGTTTTTCTAGTGTCTAAGTGGAGTATCCTAAACAATATGTTTAAAACATTGCTCGATACAATTATATATGAATTACAAACATACTAAGCATACTCTCGGTTATATGTTATATGTTATTCTATCTTGGAAGAAATCTGCCCGTTAAACAATCATTTTTACAAAATTTTTGCTATTTTATTTTTATTTTAAGAAGTGTGCATCCTAAATCGTTCAGCTCTTTCTAGATCCTAAATCCATTTGCAATTTGTTAAGTACATCATAAATTAAAGTCACTGTTAGAACACATCAAGTTACACGATTACATATTCGTAAACAATAATCAGGGATACAATTTTATATATATATAATGATGTATACAGAAGTCGCATGGTTTATTTTTTTATGCAGTGTATTTGTTAAGTACATCATAATTTAATAATATTTAATAATATGTAATCGTGTAATTTGATGTGTTCG